GGATAGGTTTCAATAACTCCTTTTTCTCATCTATCTTTTCCTTGTCAAAAACAAACCTACACGTAAGTCATTAACTTCTGACCTGGTCTGGAAGTACTTTGTTATGTTGCCACCCATATCACTTAGCCAATAAAGTAAGCTACTGAACACCCTCCAGTGATTTTCCTATAGGTTCCAGCTCTTACCATGAAATAGTAGAATGCCTTTAATCTCTAAGAGAAAATCATGGAGCCAACTCCCACACACTAGGCCAAAATTTCGACTTTGTTGAAATTGTTAAAGAAAGCTTTAACAAATGTCTGACTCATGTTCTCATTTACATGTTAATATAATGAAATTTCCACTGAAACTTCTGACTTCTGAAGGAAATATGAGAAGGTTCTCAAACTTTCTTTTGGGAGGGAACTTTATTAGAGAAGGTATATTCTGACACCTCCCATTTTGTTAACTAGCAGCAAAAAGGGACTGTATGCCCCTGAGAAAATAAACTTGGACCACACACACCAAAGACAGCAGCTGACAGTGCTCACATCTGATTCTTGGCAGGGAAGTAAGCCAGAATGGAGTTTGAAGAACCCCACGCTCAGGACTGACTTGATGGACCTTCAAGTTAACTCTCCATCAGTCTCTGGAAACTTCTGCTGAGTCTGTGCTCCTCAGCTATTTTCATGTAAAGGATTTTCTTATCCTGTTCAAGACAGTTGTACATCTTGGGAACACATCTTTTCAAAAGATTGTTCTTATTAATGTGTTTTTACTTCCACTGAAAAATATTTTAGGCCTTAATGGTAGATGAAATGCCCCTTCTTATGTGGTCAGGGGAGATCAACAGTCACCTTTTTAAAGGTTTCTACATTTTAGTGTTTTCTCCTCCCATCTAAGCTCTTTTCCATAGGAAATTTTATTGATACTCTTTTTTTTTTTAAAGTTATTTTTGCATAGAAGAACTACGGCATATGCCAGAGGTACAGGGATGAGAGGATTCACCAGAGACAGCTTGGGGAGCAGAACAGGTGGATCTACTGAAATACACTGCTGAGGGGAGCAGTAGGCAAGACAGGAGAGATCTGCTGCGCTTTGTGGGTCAGCTCCCTGGCTAGGGATTGAACTCAGTTTGCCTCAGTGTGGCCAGTGAGGTGGGGCATTGAGAACCCTTAGACCACCAGGGAGGCCCCGATTGACTTTCTTAAGAACCTACTGGATAGTCAGTTTTCTTCCAGCTAGAAGTAACCCTTTTTATAGGTGAAGAATTTGTCGTAGCAGCTCATTTGACTGGAAAAGGAGATAGGTGTCTAAGAATGCTTGAGCCATATCTACTTAGAAGTGAGACACAAACCTTTAAGGTGTCAGGTAATTGATGGTATAGGTAGCTTGACTGTAACTCTGTGTCAGGATTGATACTTAAGCAGAGACCCACTGCAGAAACTGATGAAAACTGTGGCCCCTCATTCCAGAAATACATATACATACACAAAATTTCGCATTCTATTTTAGGGAGTTCTTGATGTTCATGGACTCCTAAATGAAGAACTTTGGTCCCAACAGAATAGAAATGTTATTATTTTAGACATGTGTTTTACTATATAGACTTCAAAATCCTCTCATATACTAATTCTCAGCACATATTTGAAATAGGTAGAAGAGATCATTGTTTCCCTTTTACAATTGAGGATTACAGGTGTTAAGTAATGTAGAAGTTAAAGGTAGACACAGAGAGAACTTCTGTCATTATTCTTTGTAACACTACTTTATGTTCAGTAAGTACACTCTTGAAGTCCACAATAGGTTCTTGGAAACTGCAACTTTAAAAGCAAAACAGCCGATTACAAGTAATTTTATTTTGTTCAATGTGGGCCAGGATTTTTTTTTTACCCCCAAAAGATAACACATAAAATGACATTGAAGTAATGTTATCCAGAGACTGCAGTATTTAAAATTAATTGGTTTCTCTTGGCCAGATCCTCTTAAGGATGAATAGATTTTTCTATCCGCCTGGTGAAAACCGTTTTTCTTAATGTGTTGACCATGTATTAAGAGTCTTAACTTTTAGAAATCAGAATTACACCCAGTGCTCCATTTTTTAATTTATTTATTTTTAAAGATTTATTTATTTATTCATACACAACTGGGGTACAGGCCAGAGATGCTGAGGGTGAGAGGATTCACCAGAGACAGAGCAGGGAGCAGAACAGGCAGATCGACGAAGTACACTGCTGAGGGGAGCAGCGGGCGGGTCAGGAGAGGTCTGCCACACCATGTGGATCTCCTCCCTGGCAGGCGGGGACCTAACTCATGAGGAAGTGGCTTAAGCTTTTTAGTGCTGTGCTTTAACCCGCTGTGCCACCAGGGAGGGCCCGCTCCATATTTTTATAAAGAAAGTTTCACCCTGTTGTCTTCTGACTTTTCAGATAAACTTTCCTTTCCTGCCCATGAATGTGCGTCTCATGTGTGTCTCATGGTTGTAGTCATAGACAGGATAAATTGTTGGCTAAGGAAAGAGTGAGGAGAATTCGGGCTGCTTGAGTCTTACTTGTATAAAGTGTTTTCCCAGTGCTTTCCGCAGACCAGCTCAGCATTGCCTGGGAGCTTGTGAGAACTGCCAAACTCTGGGTCACATTGAAGTTACTAAGTCAGAAAATTGGGGCTGGAGGTGGGGGAGAAGTAAGACTCAGCAGTGTGTTTTAGTAAGCCTTGCAGGTGATTTTAATGCATGGTAGTTTAAGAACTGCTTTGTTAGGTAACCTTGTTAAGTGGTAAGACTTTTCCTGTCAAGAATAGTTTCCTAAAGGTAGCTTCTGATTGTATTTGGTCTAGATCTTGGGCTCCTGTGACTCAGCTTTAGTGGCTTTAGCCATTGGACCAAGAAGTTCCTCTTCATCTGAGTGGGGAAAGTTAAGAAACTAGCTGAGAGGATACTAAGGTGAATGTCCTTGGATAGGAAGAGAGGAAGTTTATAGAGTTTCATGAGGCAAGCAGAGAAATACTGATGTTTCATTTCCTGAAATTGTGAGTAAGGAATCAGGGTTTTCCTAGGTGATGAAGAACATCAGTATTTGAGTTCAGTTGATTTCTGTTTCAATTTATGGTGGTGGCATTGGACAAAATTGCCAATTAAAAAGCTGTTAAGAGTTCTACTTCTTATATGATTAGCAGTTTCAGAATTAAAGTTTCTCAGGGCCCAAGATCATCTGGAATGATGCCATTTCCGAGACCAGTCTGGTAAGAAAGTAAACTTTAAAAGTGTTTTTTAATTAAGTAAATGTAAAGCTGAGTTAAGAAAAATAAGGTGAGCTGAGGCACCTGGGAGTAGGACCAGGGGAATTTCTGGTCTTCTGATGTATTGTGATATAGTCTTTATGTTTATGTACATAACAAATACAGGCCTTCATTCACTTCTATCACTTACTTGCTGGGTAAGTGTGTAATTTGTTCAAGCAAATCACTTGTTTTCTCAGATGCACTCTCCCAATTTGTCAAATGGGGATTATAAGGAGAAGGGAAGAACATACAGAACTATGGTAATACTGCCTACTTCTTAAGATTCTTATGTAGATTAAGATATAACATATATACACAGGGTTGTGCAACCTTATTGTTCTTCTAGAAGCCTTTTCTCTCAAAATAAAGATTAGTGTTTTTTTAAAAATCTACCAGTTTATGTTCTTTCTTATGTTCAACAGGCAGTCTTCGTTTTTTTCGGAAGAATTCAATCACATTCCCATTCCTATCTTAGTTGAATGTAGCTTCCCTGAGCCCCTTGCTGAAATCAGCAAATAATGTCATTCTTTGTCCTTCTGATTCCTTGTTTGGTATAATCAAGGTCATTGTAATTCTGGGGACTCAGAGGCAATAGGAGTCTTCCTTTTGTGGTATCAACCTAAAATTCAGAGGGCAATTAAAGAGCAAAACATTTATTTCAGATCAAAGAACTGCAGTTTAGGATACACAAGTGCAAGTAGAAAACCTAAAATGTGCCTCAAGGAGGGAGAGTTTTTATGGGTGGAAAAGAGGAATATAAGTGGTTAAAGAGAAGAGTTAATTAGTGTTAATAGGCTTAAGCTACTCTTGGCCATACATAATTGGTTACTGCTTCTCTAGAAAAGATGAAAAAGGAACTGATTGATTTGCTAAGTCTCAAATCAGCCTCAAACAATTGTTGTTGGCATCTAAAAACAATTGTTTTGGGCCCCAGTCCAAAGGTCTTTGACCCAATCAGAGGAGACGGGGATGTACTTTTTCTGTACTGGCTCCCTGGCTGCATTTCAAAATGGCTTCACAGAAGTCAACTTTTTACAGTAGTCACGACACCTTCTGCAAAACATACACTTTTTCAAAAAAGCAGAATCACTCATCCCCGAATAAGCACCAATCCTGAGATGGGACCAAATGCCAAAACCTGAATTAAAGAGATACAAATCTAGTGGAATGCACTGGACTGAGAAAGTCGATTTCCTTGGTGACAGGGCTGACCCCAGTCTGACTAAGGCAAGGACAGGGTGTCGGGTAGCGACTGCCTGAGCACCATTCATTTCTTTACTTCCTGTCTTAATAAGTTCCCTCATTGTTTTAGCGAGTCTATATAGTTAATTTTTTCTAATGAGACTAGGTTAACTAAAATCATCTGACATGGAAAAGGAGGAGGTAAGGTTAAAAAGGAACCTAATTAGCAAGTTAATTATAGCTGGCAAAAAGTGCACTGGTTATATAAATAAGCTATTGTTACATGCATGCATGTTCAGCTTTGTCAGGGGACTTGTTAAAGTTTAGAGGTCAGAGGATCTGTGTAATTAGGTGTTTAGGGAAAAGAATGAAATAAAAGCAAAACAGCCACCAGAATTAGGAATGGCTGATGAGCCACTAACCAAAATGCCTTATTAAATTGAGCTCCACTGCTGGAGGGGTTGTTGGAACTGCTTCAGGGATCCCTGGGAAGGGTAACACCCCGCCTGCCTGCGCCACCAAAAAAAAAAAAAAAAGGTAGCTAGCTGGAACCAGAGCCAACAGAATTGCTGATGAGGAACGTTTAAAGGCCTAGCCACAAGGGTCCCTGGACCGAAGAGGTGGCATAGAGCTGGCAATGTCACTATGCTGAGCAGTAAGAAGAAATACATTGTCAATAGCAATTCTGGGATTAAGGCCCAGGTGAGGCTGAACTTTTACTTATCAGACTTGCTGCTGCTGTAGCCATTATTGTAGGAGCTCAGCTGCTTTTCTCCTCCTTTCCTGCTTTCATCCTTCCTGCGTCAGGTGAGCTGCCCCTCTCTTAACAGTGTTTCCCTCCCGTGCCTTGGTGCCTGCTGAATCTGGACTGTACTCTCTGAAATGGCAAAGGAGAGTTACCTTGAAGAACCCTTTGATTTCAGAGGTAGTAAAATTCGGGGTAGAACCTACCAGGGGACCATAACTGGGGTGGGTCGATTACTGTATCACAAGGTGGACTGTTGAGTGAAGAATGTAATGTTGCAGTATGGGGGTAAGGTAATGGGGAGGAATGGGGGTGAGGTACCAGGGATGTTGTGGTTATCGGTCAAAGATAAAGATTTATTTCTTGGGAATTTGTGTAACTTATATATAAAAAGTAAGTAGTCTGTCGGATCATCTTGTGTCTTAAAAAGAAACTTGAATTCAGAGTCTGAGTAAACAAGGGCTAGACCCCTACGCCTCTGAGTGGAGAAAGTCTACATAGCCTAGTCTCAGTGGTGCCAGGAGACAGCTTAAACTTGGCGTTGGTGGGAGGAATTACTGTGAATGGAGAAGACTTTTAGCTAGAACTTAGCTGAGGGCAACTGTTTGGAGATGATGATGATACAGATAAATGGCACTCAGATGCAGTGTTCCTGGGATAAATGGGTATAGATCCTACACATCTAGAGTATAGTGAGTGGCCCCCTCTAGTGGTATGTGAGTGGGTGGGGGTTGTTTCTCTGAGGCAGGGGTTATGTTACTCTTTTTTAAAAAGAGGCACTGCTGAAGTTAGTGACTCATCATGGCCTTTGGAAGTCAGCTACTCCTTTTCCCACATGGACCTCAAAAAAGAATAAAGGCCTATCATTGTCTTCAGGGTTGGTGAAATGGAAGCCAGAGGTTTGAGCTATCCTCTTATCTTTCTCACCCACCTTCTTCCTTCCCAGTCTTTTTACTCATACAAATTTTCTTAACTTTATACTTGTCTTTTTTACCACATTTACTTAATATTCAACCAAATATAGACAGTGAAGATAGACTAAACTTACATATTCATTGTAGTATTGCTACTGTGTGTCAAGCATTTGTGCCTGAAGATATAAGGGTATAAGGTACACAGCCCCTGCCCTTAGGAAGCCTTTAGTTTTACAGGATACAAATAGGTAGGCGGATAGTTATATTCAGTATGGTAAGTGCTATAGTAAGAGCAGTACATAGACGTTCATATACATCCCATCGGGATGCAGAGAACGGTCCTACTATCTATTTGGACTAAACTGCTACTTTAGCAAGTTGACAACTGTGATTTTTCATTTTGAATTTATAGTTTGCAAACTATAAAATACTACACAGATTAGTATTGGTCCCTTTCCTTAGTACTCAAATGACTGAACCGTTCCCTCTAACTGCATAAACTGTACCCCACAATTGCCATGTTCGTTCTGGTTTGCTGTTTTAATCTGCCCTTTATCAGGAAGGCAGAATCAGTGTCAGGCTTCTGGTCCTCCTGCCTCTATGTCATCTTAGCTCCAGAATAATCTAAGCAGTTACGCATATATCCAGTTAGAGAAAAAGTTATTTGTTGAATAAATGATGTGAGCTTTGACTTGTAAAGTATTATAAGTGTCAGTTGGAACCTCCAAAGCAGGAGAAAGAGAATGGCAAGAAAGTCTTTATCAGATATTGTCAAAAATGCAACCTCCAGAGTTGAGGTAAAATAGTCCAATCATTTGTTCTTTTTACATTTGTTATAGTGAATGAATGAATGATCTCATTGGGTACTTATGATAACAAACATTAAATATAGTAATGTTTACTATATTTACTAATATTGAAGAGTCAATACATTTTAGAAAGACTTTAACAACTAGAGTGACTACCTGCAAGAGTTTCAAGCACACTGAACTCTAAGGGAGGGAGTAAGGATGGGCTTAGTCACTTTCCTTCTGTACTTCACAGATCACACACATTGTTTCACTTAACAGTCTCCAAAACTTGTGAGGTAAACACAAGTTTTTTTTGTGATATTTATGAGAAAATGAGACAAACATCTCGACCAATATTACAAGGTTAAAGAGTGGGATAGGTAAGATTTAAATGCAATTCTGGGAATCCTGTTTTTTTCATTTACCATACCACTTCTTGAGAATCTCAAAACATGAAAGCAAGTAACTTTACCTTGCTGTATCGTAGTTTTTGCATATAGCTTATGACTATTAGAATAGTCTCAAAGATTCTTTCCAGCTTTAATTTTCGGTGAAACTATAGGATTTCTAAATATGGCTCAACTTTCTAAAAATTTATTTTAACTAGAACATCCTATTCTCTCTCTATTTTTTTGTGAGAAGCTTATAGTTAGAGAGTAGGTGAAAGGTTTAAATTTTATAAAAAATCATTCTTCTCCACAAAGAGATTTAATGTTTTAAATATGGATTGTTAAAATCAGATCAACTGGAATGAGGTAAGGTCCTATAAAGTAAGCCTGGAATTGCTGTCTCAAAATAGAGGTTCCTTTCCTTTATATGATTAGAGTTCTTTTTCTTAGCAGATCCAATTTGCTGACCAGAAGCAAGAATTCAACAAACGTCCTACCAAAATTGGTCGTCGCTCTCTGTCTCGTTCCATCTCTCAGTCATCTACTGACAGCTACAGCTCAGGTGAGTACCAAGCTGCTGTGGACCCGTCCATATCAACAAACACTCCTGTCTATCCAGGGCAGTTAAGCATGATCAAACCTACGGTTTGGCATTAACACTTTGACTCTCAGTTAAAATTTAGATCAAAATTTTGGATGAAATTGTTGGATTCCTCTTGGGGGTTCAGAGTGGAACTTAATAGAAGCCTCATTTTCCAATAAAGGCAAAAGGTAATTAAGGAAACTGAGGTCTGATTTATTCAGAGAGTGAGAATGTACAGCTCACTACTGACTTTAATGTAATAGCTTATGAAAAGACATGTTTTTCCTGATCTTTGAAAATAAAAGAGGGGTGTCTCCCTGGTGGCCTAGAGGTTAAGTCGCAGTGCTATCACTGTGATAGCCCAGCAAGATGGCCTGAGTTCGAACTCTGGTCAGGGAGCTGACACAGCAGACCTCTACTGCCTTTCCTGCACTCCCCTTAGCAATGTATTTCAGTAAAATGCCTGTTCTGCTCCCCATTCTATCTCTGGTGAATCCTCTGGCCTGCACCCCAGTTCTTGCACCTCTGGCCTGCACCCCAGTTCTTCAGTGCAAAAATAAATACAATCTTAAACAAAAAAAAGAGGGATTCCCCATTTCTCCACGTCATATTTGCAAATTATTAGGGAATCTTTATTGCCCTCAAGAAACAATGAAAACACTGTAGTTAGTTCAACAAGTGAACTCTTGCCTACTCTTTTAAGTGGTGACATTGTATTGCTTTGCAGTGGCATTATTTCAAATATAGGGGCCATCGGGTTGGGTTATCATTTAATGCCGAAGGCACTATTACCGGACAGGACCTCGGGAAGACACTGGCCATTTAGGCAGCTGTGCCCCTGGCGCGTGAGACCTAAGGTGGAGCTGTTTTATTTTGCTCTTGTGTTAGAATGTGTAGGAAGCTCAGTGTTTTACCCTAGTTATCTCTTCAGATTATAAATACTAATATTAGAAAATTTTCATCATGAAATTTTATTTGTTCTTCACACAAAAAGGAAAGTAGTACTTGATATGTAAAATTGTAAAAAACTATTTGTGTAGCTATAACTTAAATTGGGTAGATTGCTATTTATATCTTTCATACATAAAATTCATTTTGTATTTTTATATTACTCCTTTTACTTTTCCCCACAGTAATCATGTAAAGCACATGACATAAATCCCTAAAGTTACCTAATTTTGTGCCTATTTTATTCTCCTGTAATAGGCAGTATTGAAAATCCATGAACCTTTAATATAACTGGAAATCATAATTGTGAAAATGTGAACTGTAAAACAGTGTATAATATTTTAGATTATGAGTTGGGCCTGTTAGCTAAAGATTGATACTAAATAATAACAATACTCGATTTTAACTTCAGCTTAAGCTTTCCCCACACGCTACATTCACATTTCCAACTGTTTCTCTGCATTTCCTACAGAGATAACCAATACCTGCCTTCCCATCAAACCCCCATATATAGGGAGTATTCTTACAAGATACCTTTTTACCTAGAACAAAGTGATTGATACCCTGGTTTCAAATTGAACACATAATTGCCAGGTATTACTCATTGGTGAGTAATAGTGACTGATGTCACCTTGGAAAACTTGGACCTTTTAGGTTGAACTATATGAAGTTGCCATTTTTATTGTCAAGAATTATCAGCCTCATATACCCACTTATGAATATTAATTTCAGGCACAGGAATTCAAAACATCCTAGAGATAGAAAATAACTCAAAGATCGCTAACTTTCCCACTGGATGCTGGACTTGCTTTAGTGACATTCTTAACAAGCAGTCATCTGGGTTTTGGGGAGCATTTTAAGCCATAGGGTTATCTTTGCTTTATCCAATTATTTAACTCCTGCTATTGTTTTATACAATCTCTGGAATTTACAGATTCTACTGAGAAATAAAAATTTTATTTAAAAGTAAAATTGCCATTTTCCATTGGCTGGTTTTTGGGGTATCTGACTGTGCAAGTTATCCTCATCTGGATATATGTCAAATTAAGTATTTTTTAAAAATATAATCATCCCAATACAGTCTCTACTAATGTATAAGGAAAGTTATTTTCATAAACTCAGTGCTTTTAAAATGAATCCTAAGATTATATTTGATTCTTTCACACTGTTAGCTCATTGGGGTTTGTTTTTTTGGTGTTTTTTCATATGAATAGTTTTAAAACCTTTTAAACAAACTGAATGGAGACACCTACTGCCATGATTCTTATGGTGAAATTTAGGAAGGACTTAATTTCCAGATTTTGATCCATGTGTGATTTTTTTTTGTATTTTTTTTATTACAAAGTTTATTTTTACATCATTTTGCACATTTTTTTTTTCCATCTCGATTGTAATCCCCGCGGGTTTCCCATCACCAAATCACCCCTGTGCCACCCGCATAGTCCCGTGCATTTCCCTCCCTTCCCCCC